AAGTCTTCAATAAGTTTATTATATACTATTGATCACCGAAAGAAAAACGAAGTAAAAACATCAATCTTTATTGTTATGGGTTTATAAATAGCAAAATATTATCCTCTCAAATACAACACAAAGATTCACCAAATAGTGTGTAACCATAAATAAAGCAACCATGTAGTGAAGCTTTCTTAATTGGCCAAGAGATAAGCCTCGATGGCTTTAAAGAGTCCTTGGGCCTTCTCCTTGCCTTTTTTGATGTCTTCTTCAGCTATCTTCACGTCACCTTTGCAGGTGTAAATGCTTTGATGCTTCAGTATGCATCCTCCCTGATCAGTGGGAACAAGCTTGATGTGGTACGAGATGGACTCCAATGGGTCAACTAGGATATCACCTTCGATTATGCTGTAACTGTAGCTCAAATTGTCTTTGTCGACTTCATCAATCTTGTGCTTCACACTCTTAAACTGACTTCCTGAAAATTACGCCAAGTCTAACTTTTAAATTTCTGTTATAGGGCCTCGTTATATGTGAACTGCACTACATCAAAATCAGATTTATAGGACCACAAATATAATGTCTAAATGTCCTAAAAAAGCTCTATAGGATAAGATCAAACGATTGCACGTCTCATGTGAAGTGGTAAGATTCTTTCGGACGTCTTAACAAAGTTTTAGAACACTTTTGAAATAAAACGTTGTATTATAGTCTTTTTATATGACATCAATTATTCGGAAAAAAATTATTATAAAAACAAATGTCCCATAAAAAGATATGTTTATAATGAATTTCTTTAAAAAAAATATCATTCAAAAAAACTAATAGGACATTTTATTTCAAAAGTGTCCTAAAAAACATGTTAAAATGCTCAATCCTATCCTAACACATTTACGTAGGACGCATAAATGTTCGGTCCTATAAACTTAAAGTCCTACAAAATCGTCACTTAAGACATTTAGACATCGTATAAAACCCATTTTTTGTAACGGGGATGATGACAAGTGTATAATAAATTCAGTTAATTAGTGACTTGCCTTCACCAAAAGTGATGAGCTTGATTGTTCCGGCACCACCATCTCCTTCGAGGATCTCAACGCTTTTCATTGCTTGAGGAGCTACCTTGGGGAAAAGGGTATCTCCATCAAGAATGAAAGATTGGTATAACTTGGCTGCAGGGACTGCAGTTTCAACTTCCATGTCATAAGTGGTCACACCCATATTTATAAATTAAATCAGTAACAACAAAAGTTGATTAGAATGAAGGAAAGTGATGAAAAATTGTATGTAGGTTCAGAGTTTTTATATGAGAAATGGAAGTGGTGGAAGAGGATCAAGCTACAGTGGGGATCGAGTAAGGTCTTTCTCTATTGAGAAATATATGCCAAGAACGCCTGATTTGACTCATATTAATGAAGACATTTTGTTCTACATTATTTTGGTTGGACTAAGTCAATCATGTGAGGTCCAAAGTCAACTTTTAGCTTTCTTGGATCGTAGTTTTTGTCTATGTCACTATGTGAATACCTTTGTTAAATTAACCCTTTGTGTCCTATGTCTACCTCAACTACTCTCAAAAATCCCTAAAAATATCTGACAATTAAATTTCAGTATTGATCTTGAGAGGACTCGAACTAGCGACCCTCAAAGAGATACCGTAAGACCTAACTTTTATTTTACCAGATGAACAAACCCTGAAGTTAACACTTCCCTTACACACAAGTTCGAGTAATGTAAAATATCTAAATTCACCTAAAATTATAACATAGAAGAAAGGGTGTTAAGCGGACGGTGGAGCAAGAACATGGTGTTTTTAATCCATGTATGCGTTTTTCTGCTCTAGCATAAGGGTATGAATGAAAGGGGCATAACATAAAATTTTATTTTCCAAAACCCTTTTCTCATTTTGTTGTTTGTATGTTTTATTTTGCATCTACACCAAAATCAGATTTATCGAAAACCAAAGATGTCTATATGTCTTAATAGATTATTTTATAAAGTTTAAGTTTATAAAACCAAACAATTATGTGTCATATATAAAGACGTTAGAATTGTATGTTAAATAGGTTATTTAACAAGTTTTTTTGAAATAAAATGTCCTATTCCTTTTTTTATGTCACAATTTTAAGAAGTGTCTTGTGAACACATGTGTTTGTAAGATATTTACTTTTAAAAATACTTTTTTCAAATAAAATTATATATAAAAAAGTTTAATAAATGTTATATTTAAAACTATCCTAAAACCTTGTTTAGACATCCAAAAGAGTCATATCAATTACTATAACACATTAATAATATACACACGTAATTGTTTTGTCATATAAATTTAAGTTATATTAAACAAAAACTGATTTTGTTGTAGCATGTGTGCTTAATTTGATATGTGTTTTACTAATGCTTCATCATAGCCCAACGCTACATAAGCAATTAAGAAGCAATTATCCAAGGGTTTGACAATTGGGTTGTTTTGCATGGACCTACAAGAAGCAATTTAGAAAGTCAGCTTTGAAATTTTGACACCATCCACCAAATCATACTTATGCAACAACCATTAATTATGCATCTTAAAGTCATAGCATCCCGTGATATGTTTGTCATGTACGTACCAAGTCAAATTTGTTTCGGTCCCTCAAACAAAACAAGTTCATTTTATCATTTCACTACAACAAAACTGGGTGTATAGAAAGCCATCAATCTTAATAAACCACTTCATAATACATTATTTATATGACTAAAAAAGAAAGTGTTATACCTAAAATACATTGTAATAAGTTTATGAGACACTTTCGGACGTTGTAACAAGTTTGCTAGGATTTTTTTATTAAAAAAACATCATATTTACTATTTTGTAGGACGCTATTTGAAAGTGTCTTATAAACACAAATGTCCTATAAAATAACTAATGTAACACTTTGTATCAAAAGTGTCCTAAAAACTTGCTAAGACGTCAAAAAGCGTCTATATATATATATATATATATATATATATATATATAAACTTATCACAGTGTCTTTAGATATAACGTTTTATAATTTTTCCCTATAAATTAAGTCTTATAAAGACGCTTATTTATTGTTGTCATCGTATAAACTCAATTTTGTTGTAGTCTTTTTAACACACGCTTAATATTTTATTACAAAAGTTTCAATAATTTTTTTAATTAGTAGCTGCTTCGATATGATCGGATAAATTAAAAGAGGTCATGAATATTAGGTAGTGTTTGGTTCGCAGATTCTGAAGGAATTTGATGGAATTATAATGTTGAATTTCATTGACCAAATTTCATTCCCTCGTCTGGTTCATTCTTTTTCATGAAACGAATCTTCAAAATCCTACAAATTCCACAAATAAAGGAATTTAACATTCCTTAGCAACTATATGGTATTTTGATGTAATGGAATCTCTATCTTCATGGTATTTTAATGGGCACCGCCGATCACCACCGATTTGAACAACCACTGCCGCCACCGCCTATCTAAACCACCGCTGACCACCTCCATCTGAACCATTGCGGACACCATCGATCTGAATCACTGCGGACCACCACCATCTAAACGACTGTAGACCACCACCAATATGAACCACTGCCGACCACTGTCGATTTAGTAACGTCGTTTGGCTTATGATTATATTTGAGTTGTGTATTTTATATTGTTTTACATATTAAATAATTATTTTGTTAAAGTATTTTTAGTTTAAAAAAATTAAAATATTCAAAAAAATGGCATTTTGGTCATTTACCAATATTTTATTCCAACTCTAAAGATACATTCTGTGAACCAAACAGACAGATTCCAATTCTTTAACAGATTCCATTCCAATGTCTGTCAACCAAACAAGTGGTCAAACCTGACAACGTTCCATTCCAATTCCTTCAAAGTCAAATTTCTTTAACAGATTTCATTTCATCCAAAAACATTCTGCAAACCAAACGTCACCTTAGAGAATCAACTTTCAAAACCTTGAGAAGGTGATATCAGTGAGTGTGGGATACGATATTTTGGAATAGGAATATACCAACGAACCATCAATAAAATGAATTAAACGAAGCATAAAGGCGGAAATGGTATGAATTAAACGAGGCATAAAGGCGGAAATGGTATACTAATAACTTTGATGGATGATGGCCATGCCGAAGCTCATCACGGTTGGAATGCAATTTTATTACCTCATGCCAATCACTTTCTAGCTTCCAAAACACAGAATACTTCTTCTCTCAAAGTGCTTCTTTACCATTTTTGGTATGTATGTAGAAGTTGGTTTTGTTGGTGTTCTTGATTTTTGAAGCTTTGGTTGATCTTGGATCTAAAGATTWTSTACAATCACWTTCTAATCTTCTTGGTGGTAATATAGACTTGTTTCTCTCTTTGGTGGATGTACACTATGTCGATAGTGGAACCACATTAAATCCTCGTGTCATTTGCTTGTGAACTTGTTATACACAATGATCTTGACATATCTAGTTGTTATGTACAATTTGGGTAGTTCATCTTCTTTGGAGCATGTTGTTGCAAACTAGAATAATTTTATTCAAAAAGTCTTCAATAAGTTTATTATATACTATTGATCACCGAAAGAAAAACGAAGTAAAAACATCAATCTTTATTGTTATGGGTTCACAAATAGCAAAATATTATCCTCTCAAATACAACACAAAGATTCACCAAATAGTGTGTAACATAAATAAAGCAAGCATGTAGTGAAGCTTTCTTAATTAGCCAAGAGATAAGCCTCAATGGCTTTAAAGAGTCCTTGGGCCTTCTCCTTGCCATTTTTGATGTCTTCTTCAGCTATCTTCACGTCACCTTTGCAGGTGTAAATGCTTTTATGCTTCAGTATGCATCCTCCCTGATCAGTGGGAACAACCTTGATGTGGTACGAGATGGACTCCAATGGGTCAACTAAGACATCACCTTCAATTATGCTGTAACTGTAGCTCATATTGTCTTTGTCTACTTCATCGATCTTGTGCTTCACACTCTTAAACTGGCTTCCTGAAAATTCCGTCAAGTTTAACTTTTAAATTTTTGTTTATTGGGCCTCATTACGAATCAAAATAAGCTTTATACGACCACAAATATAACCTGAAAATGTCCTAAAATACCGTTATTACAATTTTGAAATAAAACATTCTATTATTCATTTTCTATTATATTAATTTGTTTAAAAATATTTATATTATAAACACAAGTATCCCATAAAAATGTGCTTATACCGAATTTCTTAAAATTGTCATTCAAATTAGCTATATAAGATATGTTATTTAAGAAATGTCATAAAAAACTTGTTGAGAGACTCAATTACGTCTTAATTGACATCCTATTATAACACATTTACATACGACACACACGCACACACACATATATATATATATATATATATATATATGTGTGTGTGTGTGTATGAAACTAATATCTTTTTGTAGTATGGATGATTGAGAATTGTATAATGAATAAGTTAGTGACTTGCCTTCACCAAAAGTGATGAGCTTGATTGTTCCAGCACCACCATCTCCTTCGAGGATCTCAACGCTTTTCATTGCTTGAGGAACTACCTTGGGGACAAGGGTATCTCCATCAAGAATGAAAGATTGGTATAACTTGGCTGCAGGGACTGCAGTTTCGACTTCCATGTCGTAAGTGGTCACACCCATATTTATAAATTAAATCGATCAGTAACAACAAAAGTTGATTACAGTGGAAGGAAAAAAAGATGAAGAAATGTATGTAAGTTGAGAGTTTTTATATGAGAAATGGAAGTGCTAGAAGAGGGTACTTATAGGGAGATCAACCTTCAATGGGAATAGAGATATATGCCAAGAACGTCTCATTTGACTCGCACTAATGAAGACATTTTGTTCAACATTATTTTAGTTGGACCAAAACCTTAATCTTGTGATCCTAAGGGTTTGTGTATGTGAACACTTGTTCTTAACCGTCACTGAATGTTTTATTTATGACTTGGTTTTGCATGGACCTACAAGAAGCCATTTTATAAAGTCAGCTTTGAAATTGTGACACCATCCACCAACTCATCCTTTGTGTAATCCTTAAACTCATGCATGATACAGTGATATATTTGTCATGTACCAACTCAAACTTGTATCGGTCCCTCCATATGAGAAAACAAGTTCATTTTATCATTTTCAATGAATCCTTAATATTTTATTACAAGAGTTTCACTAAATTTTTTTGACTTGTTTGGTAACTGTTTCAATTAGTATATGTATATACAAGTAATTTATAAATATTTTTTTGATATGTACAGAAACCAGAAAACATCTTCAATTATTTTTATACGCATGTTCATACTTTACATATGAATGATTATTAGGGTCTTCATCAATTTTTCA